CAACGGAGCTCAAAAGTGTGGGATATTTTTAAGAAAATGAAAGAGAAACCTGTGCAATATCTGCAGAGCAGAACTTTCCTTCCACAGCAGTTGTTTTTAGTTAGCATATAGCTAAAATCTAACCATGGTTATATAATAGCAGCTGCATTCTGGCAGGATAAGCTCTATGTTTTATATTCAATTAACGTATGATCTGATTAGTCGACTAATCGAAAAAATAATCTGTGATTAATCGATTAAAAAAATAATCGTTTGTGGCAGCCCTAGGTCACATATTTTCTGACTCATCAATAGAAGAAAAAATGAGCCATATTATCCTGACAGGCCTTCTATTTACAGTATGTTTGTGCAGCAGGTTGCTCCTCTTCCTCTCTCTTCTCCTGATATATAAACTCTCAGAAGATCATAAATTGTTCATCCAAATGTGACAATTGTAGCAGTAATTTACCTAAATATGGGTGGGTTTTCCTGTAAATGCACAAATCACTTAAATGGGACGTGCTGTTTGCTTGGCATCAGGAATTAGACAGATGTACTAAACTCTAATTTGCACCCAGCTGGGCATTCTGTTGATATCAATGGGCCTGAATGTCTTTCTTTTGTTCTGGACCCAATTTTTGGTCCCTGTGGATCAAAAATTGTCAAGAAGTGTTTTTCTGTGAGGAATCAGAGAATAACAAATGATTTGGTTAACAGTTATCAAACTGTTCTTACACTAAATTCTCATTTCAAGAGGAAACAGAATAAAGAAGCTGCAGGAAAAAACAGGTTTTAGATGAGGGTAAAAATTTTGTTTTGTGCTTAAATATATTTCAAGATAAAAAAATCAACATGTTCTTCTGAGCACATTAATCATGTGCCTTGCTGAAACTGAACTTTAAGCTCATTTTTATTAATATTTTCATCACAGGAGCTAATTTAAAACATGCTTGTGTTCTTCTGCTCTAGATTTTGGACAGGGGTAACTGCAGTTTAAAAAACATGCATGAAACATTTTATTTTTTTAATTTCCTGTAGTTTTTCTGAGTGAGATTGTACCGACAGAGGAGCAGATGGTCAGCATCTGTTCAATAATGTAAATCACAGTTTGTCAGAGGGCAGTAAGCTGGGGTCTCATGAGACAGCTTCAGTTTTTGGAGAGATGTTCACACATTTGATCCTGTAAGTAAGTGTTAAAAAGTTAGATGCCTGAATAATTGCACAGCACAATTCAGTTCTCAAATCAAAACGCTTTATTCTCTGATGTAAAAACTCCATCTCGGCTGGCCCTGAGTCTAATCAGAACATAAAAACAATCTCCTCTAACCTCTGCTGCTGGTTGCCCTAAAGTCTCCTGTGTCTTTAACAAAACCACAGTATTTAAGAACACCCTGTCACTCTCACATCAGCGCTGATGTTCTGGATTACCATACCATACCAACTTTATTTATAAAGCACTTTAAAACAACCACAGCTGATACAAAGTGCTGTACATTAAAACACAACATAATAAAAAAGTGATTAAAAATGGTTTAAAAACAAAAACATACAATTTAAAACTAAATCCCGCTGGTGTTGAAAGCCATGTAAAATAAATGGGTTTTAAGACGAGCTTTAAAAGTGGACAGTGAAGGGGCCTCCCTGACCTGCAAAGGCAAGTCATTCCATAATTTAGGGCCGATGACAGAGAAAGCCCTGTCCCCTCTGAGGTTCCTTTTTATTCTCGGTACCTCCAAGAGCAGCTGATCWGCTGACCTAAGAGACCGATAAGGTACGTAGGGATGAAGAAGCTCAGAGAGGTAAGCTGGGGCAAGATTATGCAGTGATTTAAAAACAAACATAAGAATTTTAAAATGAATCCTAAAATA